GCGAAACCCTGTCTCCACTAAACATACAAAAATTAGCCGGGCATGGTGGCACATGCCTGTAGTCTCAGTCACTTGGGAGGCTTGCTTGAGCCCGAAAGGCAGAGGTTACAGCGAGCCAAGATTGCACCACCATATTGCAGCCTTGATAATAGAGTGAAACTGTGTGTGTGTGTGTGTGTGTGTGTGTATATATATATATATATATATATATATATATATATATATATATATATATATAAAAAGGTAACCCACAGCTTGGGAACACAGAGCTGCTCTGTACGATGTCCAACTACCCTGAAGCTGCATGTTAGAAAGGCCATGTAGACGGGAGGCTGAGGCAGGAGAACTGCTTGAACCCAAGAGGCGGAGGTTGCAGTGAGCTGAGATCGTGCCATTACACTCCAGCCTGGGTAACAAGAGCAAAACTCCGTCTCAAAAAAAAAAAAAAAAGGCCATGTAGAAATATCACGTAGAGGGAGGAAGAGGCCCAATGAGCCCCAGCTATTTGAGCTCTCATTTTTACATCTTCCCAGTGAACTGACAGTCAAAGGCTGGGAGCTGGAACCTTCTGAAGGCTCATTCACTTGCATGTGTGGCATGAAGCTTCAGGGCAGCTCCAGCTGATGCCAGGGGAGCAAAGATGAGCCATGTTCTCCAGACCCTGCCAAAACTGCAGATTTGTGAGTGGGACAAATGCTGTTTTAAGCCACTACACTTTTGGAGGGGTTTGCTATGCAGGAATATGTAGTGAGAACACCCCAAATGACCTGGGCTCAGACCAGAAGAATCATTTAATCCCTCTTCTGTGAAAAAGTAGAAATTTAAGTTCTCGATGTACTCTCGGATGGCAGACAAAAATGACAAGTTAGAGGGCTTTAAACTCTTTGTTTCTAGGCTACTGGGTGAATATAATACAGGAGATTCAGGGCCCCTGGGAGGCTAGAGAAAGAAACGGTAATTAAAGTGGTCCAGAAGGAAGAGAAGCATATGATGGGCTATGCCTGGGACCTCCAGACCAGAGGGCAAGGGATGACCATTCCTTTCTTACACATATGTATCACAGTCCTAATTTTCCAAAAATGGCACTCACCACCCCCACAGAAGAACGAGAAAGCCCTGATTTTCAGAGTGCAAGATTCTTTCTACAGAAAAAGAAGATCCCCTTTCCTTTCTCTCCTCTCCATGCTACTTACTACATTTCTAGGGCACAGGCCTCCATGATCAGAAGACAGGTGAGCAACTGTCCATGGTGCTGCCCTCGGCTTACTGATGCAGACCATGTTTTCCTTCACAGGAACCCACATCCACAGGCTCTGTGATTTACAGAGACAAATGCATCCTAGATCCCTACATAACCTAGAATGTGTCACTAGGTCCTGTACATTTGTTTCAGATGGGATATAAAGAACGTCTAACAGGGAAGATCACCCTTTGTTATTTACTTCAGTACCTTAGGGGTGTGTGTGTGTGTGTGTGTGTGTGTGTGTGTGTGTGTATTCTTCTCAACAGAACAAGGACTAAACAAGTCTTCCTAGATGTTTTTGAGGTGTTTTACCCATTGACAATGTGACAGGTTCCTTATATTGTACTGTCAAATATGCTAATCAGATTTTTCTTCTGTGTGTTTCACTGATTGTCTTTGTTTGCTGTTCCTGGGTGTAGGTGTGGGCATTTGATGTGTTACTGTCCTGGAAATGGGGGCTGAGAACCCTTGGGTCAGGAAGCAGGACCAGAATCTTGGACATGTGGTTGGAGGATTGGTTGGTCTCCCTTCCTCCACTTTCCTCCTATGTCTCTTTCTTTCACCCCTTGCCCTCTCCCTGCAGGCCTCTTTTATAGCTGTGTCAAATCATAAGTGGAGGTAGAAAGTGGATGGTGGTGGCAGGATCCTGGGGGTCAGGAGGACAGGACTATGCTTCACAGTTATCCAGGTGGCAGCTGTGCTGAGGGCTGACAGAGATGCTGCATCTGAAGCCAGACCTGCGTACCAATCCAGCCTTTGGTGTTTGATTGCTATGTCAGAGAAGAAGTCACTGAGTCACATTTTTTCTCCTCTGTAGACAGATAACTCAGCCTGCAGAGCATTATGATGAGGATTAAGTGAGGTGCTATATTAGAATCTTGTAAACTATAAAACATTCTGCTAATAAAGGCTTATTTCCTTCTGTAGGGGCCCCAAAGAGAGATTAAAAAGTGGTAAAGAGGATGACTCCAAGGAGCTACAGATGAGTAGGGAGGAGAGAAGTTCCCAGAGGCAGAGGAAATCTGAACCAGAGACCCAGTTGGGTCTCATGGAGCTAACCCAGCAGAGGGAGAAAGAGGCTCACCTGGAGTTGGGCGGATGCCCAAACTCAGGCAGCAGGCAATGCGGGGAGCTGAAAGGGAAGGAACAGTCGTAGTATTAGCAGCCATGTGCTGAGTGCTGGCCAAATACCAGCCACTGTGCAAGGCGTACATGCTCATTTAATTCTCACAGCAACTCTATGGGGCACATGTTATTATCCTCATTTTACACAGTGGAGAATGAGGTTCTGATAGGCCCAAGACATTTCTAAAAAATCTCACTGCCAGAAAACCTGGATTCAAATCTAGGGTTTTCTTACCCCTAACTAAGCTAAAGTTAGCAAGCCTAAGATAAGATTTCTGGTTTTGTTTGGGTTTTTTAAATTATTATTATTTTTAAGACAGAGTTTCCTTCTTGTCGCCCAGGCTGGAGAACAATGGCATGATCTCGGCTCACTGCAACCTCTACCTCCTGGGTTCAAGCAATTCTCCTGCCTCAGCCCAAGTAGCTAGGATAACAGGTGCCTGTGATCATGCCAGCTAAGTTTTGTATTTTTAGTAGAGACAGGGTTTCACCATGTTGGCCAGGCTGATCTCACCTCAGGTGAGTCACCCACCTCGGCCTCACAAAGTATTGGGATTACGGGTGTAAGCCACCTCACCTGGCCATTTTTTTTTTTAATAATAAAGAGAAGCATCATATCAGAGGAACCTACTATGTGGCAGACTCCAAAGCCAAAGGATCAAAGAACAGGCGAGCAAAACAAGAGGGTAGGAGACAAGTCAGAAAGGGGTCTGTGCGAGCACCAGAAACATGCACATACCCTCTTCCCTGTGGAGTGGCTCATGGGCGGACCAGGCTCTTTTAAAGAGCTAGGGGCAGAGCGATCTCCTGCAGCCTGTTCTTATGTGAGCAACACAAAAGCTTCCGTGTGAGTCTCCCGGTGCTCCTGTTCCCTTCTCATCACTGAAATTGGTAGAATTAGTGCATGGTATCAACCAGCATTTGCCAAAGTTTGTTCTGCGGGACCTTAATTCTATGGGGTTAACAGATACAACTTGGAAAAAAGATTCAGTTAAATTCACTTCAATTTAACACACTTAGTGGACACCCACAGAGCTATGAAGTGTATATTCAACCATGAACAATCGGCCAGGTCCTGTTTCCATGGAGCTTGTAGACCAGATATCCAGTAAGTTTGGAAAACATTACAACAAAGTGATATTTGTTTCTTTACTGCAAACATTTCAGGGTCTGACATGCATTGTGACTTTCTAAGAGTGGGGGAGAATATATAGTGTTCCCCCATGATGTCTACCCAGGGAATCCTATTTAACTTGTTGTAAAGTCTCTTCTTGTGGCTCCAGGGCTTGTATTCTTTTCTTTTCTTTTTTTTTTTCTTTTTTTTTTTTTTTTTTGGTGAGAGAGAATTTTGCTCTTGTCACCCAGGCTGGAGTGTATAGTGTGATCTCAGCTCACTTCAACCTCCACCTCTTGGGTTCAAGTGATTCTCCAGACTCAGCCTCCCTAGTAGCTGGAATTACAGGCATCCGTCACCATGCCCAGCTAATTTTTGTATTTTTAGTATGTTGGCCAGGCTTGTCTCAAACTCCTGACCTCAGGTGATCCACCTGCCTCAGCCTCCCAAATTGCTGGCAATCCACGCATGAGCCACCACATCTGGCCGAGGGCTAGTATTCTACAGAACAAGCTGGAGGGGAGGCCAAGACAGACAGAGAATGACACGCACCCCTTCACCTCCCTTCATTTCACAAGGCTGGCAGTGTGGTGAAAAGGGATGGCAGGGAACACATAAGCTCAGAGCGTGGCAGCCAGGTGATGCAACTGTGGGGGTTACGGTGCCATTCGTGGATGCCAAGTGGTGGCTGCCTCTCAACACTGAGCCTGATGAAGTCAGAACTACCAGGAACTCGCCACAGGCGAGCCCTCAGAAGGTGTGTGCTTCTCTGAGCAGAACTGAGAAGATCCCTGAGCCAACAAAGACATAGCAGAAGGAGAAATAGAAAGTGAAAGGCTGGGGCGAGGGAAAGTCTTTTGCTCCCAGGTCCTAAGGGATTTTCTGCCAGAGTCCTGTGGGAGGACCTGGGTGGCAGCTGCCCTGGCATAGGGGAACAGCATGTCCTGTCTATAGATGTAAAGGGAAGTGTTCCTGGAGCAGCATGGGGCTTCGTATGCCAGCAACCAAAGTTTATCACTCAGGCAAACAAGCCAGAGGAAAAGAACTGACAAATGGCTAGCAGTTCCCCCCGCTTCTTCTCCAGGAAGATGTTTTGGTCTTGGTTCCCCTCTGGGTTTTTCCTCTCTCGGATCTCTCTAGCCCTCACGCAGTGTTCCTGCCCAGGCGTTACATAACAGCCTGGACTGCAGGGAACACCTATACAAGAGGCCATGACAGTTAGACAATGGGCAGGCACAGGCTGCCCTGAGAAAATGGAGTCATTCATGAGCTGTGTGAGAGGCGGCTCTGTTCCCAGCTTGGCTCGCTGGTAAATGAAGTGCGCTCGGGACAAAGAGGGAAACTTTACACTCGAGCAATTTTCCCACAGTGGTAGGCTCACAGAAAAACAAGGCACTAGTTGGCGTAGAGGAGAAAAGGCAACCATATCCATAGACTTTGCTTTCGCCCCCAGATTGCCGTCTTGTGCCAAAACCACAGAATAAACTCCCAGGGAGGCAACAGCAGAGCTGTACTCACTCTGGGTCTCCAACGGCAGAAGCCAGAGGGAAGGTGTGGGTCTGCCTTCAGCTTCTGTCTGTTTCCGTGGCTGTTTGATGGGTCTTCATTTCTGGATCAGCTCATAGTTGACCTCTGAGCCAGCTCGCCACCTTGGAGGGAAGAAATGTCAGTTGGGATGATCATCCTGGGAGAAACAGCAACAGCTTCCCCTAGCGCAGCTGCTCAGCGGGGTCGGGAGCACCTTCCTTAACACAGCCGGCCGGCTCGACGGAGCTGAGGGGCTCCTCAGCCCACACTACTCAGGGCTGTGTGTGGAGTCACACCCTGACAATACTTAGCTGCCAGGGCCTCTTTGCATAGGAATCTGTACTGCAGCTGCAGGTACAGTGCTGCCCTATAAACCAGGAGGTGCTAAAAATTTAATCAAAAAGTTATGAGTGTCTTACACTGGGGGTTTTGTATAAGACAATTTTATGTCAAGAAAATACCAAGATAATAAAAAATAATCTTATATGTTAAAAACAATCACCAAATTCCAGCAATGACCCTCTTATCTATTTAAAGAAATACAAAGCTCTTGTCCAATTTACCTATTTAGAGATTTCTGGAGTCCCTTACAGAGCTATTTAATCCATGGCACTAATCCTACCTCGGAGAATCTGTAAGCCTCATGTGCAGAGTACAGTATACTATGCAGCAGGTATTATAAAGTATTAAGATACCTCTGTATCCACCCTGGAATCTTGCCTTTCTACCCAGTCCCAGAGGGACCCATAGGATGAGGGAAGGCAATTAGGTGGGATAAAATGCTTCCTAAATGATAAATGCGCACTGATGCCATCAAGCCTGGAAATACATGTACATATAAAATGGACCTGGGTTTGCCAGCTCAACCTCATACAGGTAGACTGTATCCTTCTGGGCACCAAGCTGACAACATAAGAAAATGCCAGTTGCTGAGGAATACAAGGTTAAATGCTCTGGAGTCAGACAGATGGGCCTGGATCTTAATTTCAAAACTTAGTAGCTGTGTGACCTCAAAGGAATGGCTTCACTTTTGCTGCCTCCACTGTAGTATCATAGTGGTCACAGTATTTAGGGAGGTGGGCTAGGACAGACCAAGTATTTCTCCTGGGATTGCTGAAGGAAGTGGGGTCCAGGGCGGCCCCTCTCTGTGGTCATTCTCAGCCAGCAGCCCCTGCCCACCACACTGAACACCTTCACAAGACCAGTGGCCATTTTTTGAAGAGAATCCCTATTAACCTGGGAAAACTTCACAACAGACCAACATTGTTTCCTGCACTGGGGCTTGGAAACCACTGCATGAAATAATTTATCTGTTACTGTTTAATCCTGTACTGGCTTAGTTATATTCTTTATAGAGAAAACCTTTAGAGTTTTCTCCTTTATGCTTCAGGTGTAGCTAGGCAACGTTCACCAAATCTACGTGCCTCCCCAGCTGTTTCCACTTCAGCGTTTGAGGGAAGAATCAAAAGCCCCTGGGCTTGCAGATGCTCAGAGAACAGGCATGAGGCAACATTTTCTGAGCTCTCATCACATCCCGGGTACCATGCTAGGCTTGTATACCTATGGAACTCCCAACAGAGTGAGGCAGACGGGTGATGAAGTTGGTCGAGCCTAGAGAGCCTATGGGAGCATGTGGTGACCAGACTGGTGGTGACAGGAGAACGGTTTCCAGAGGAGGAGATAGCCGAGCTGACTTTCAGTGAATAGCCAGGTGCGGGTGTGGTGGCTCACCCAGGCAGAAGGAGTAGAGCAAGAAAGGGCTTGGCCAGTCCAGAGAGCCTGCCGGTCCGATGTGCCGCAGTAAACCTAAAAGACTGCGAATCGGAAGAGGTGGTGAGGGAGGAGGTGGGGAATAGGAAGGCAGGAGCTAGGTCTCCATAATGCTCCTAATTCCCTCTGGGACATCATTTGTCCCTCAGTAATGCCTCTCATAGAGATATCTTATTTATTGATACCTTATTTTACTGATACCTTAATCTTTCAAGCAGAATGATAAAGCAGAAAAAGCCTTGTGGGTACCTCCTCACATGTGTTGTTTGTTTCGAGACAAGGTCTCGCTCTGTCACCCAGGCTGGAGTGCAGTGGTGCCATCATGGCTCTCTGCAGCCTTGACCTCCTGGGCTCAAGCAGTCCTCCTACCTCAGCCTCCTGAGTAGCTGGGACTGTGGGCAGGCACCACTACACCTGGCTAATTTTGTAATTTTTTGTAAAGATAGTCTCACCACGTTGCCTAGGCTGGGATTCCTCACATGGTTTCACATAAGTAGTCCCTATACTTGCCTTGTTCTTTCCAATGTGAAGAGAATTCTTCGGGCAATTAAATGTATGCTTCCACAATGATGTCTCTTCTCCCCACTGCTCTTTGAAGCTGATCTTTGTTGGAAAAGCTATTTTTCATCAAATTGATCTAGATTACTCATTGATTAGCTTGTTGGCCATAACTGCTTCTTAAAAAGAGCTCACCTGTTAATTGCAATGATAGCTACCAGTATTGAACTAGTACTATATGCCTGGCATGGTACTGGGTGCTTCCGAAACTTTTTGTTCAATACTCACAGCAAATTAATGCGGAAGACACTATTATCATATCCACTTTACAGATGAGAACAATAAACCTTGATAAAACAACAGCTCATCCATGACAGAACTGGGTTTCCATCTATTTGATTCCAAAATCACCACTCTTAGCCAATTCACCCCACTGCTATTGCAAAATGCTTTTGAGAACAACTTAAAAGAAAGATGTGTGACTGTGGCTGTACGGTGGATAACCAAGTTTTCTGACCAGGAAACATTTTTCCCCTTGCAGAAAGAACTTGGGAACGCAGCAGGCAGTCCAGAATAATGATGGGGATCCAAAGGCAGCAAAGGCTTCTCGCCGCCACGTGAAAGGCCTGAGTTTAGAGACCTCAGGGAAGTTTCAAGGCCAACTTTCTGTAAAATCCCCATTCTCTGAGCGATGGCTTTAATTCACAATCATGTGTCAATACTGGTTTGTTAATCATAACAAATGTACCACAGTCCTGTAAGATGTAAGATATTATCGATAGGAAAAAATGAGGGAGAGGTACACGAGCTCTGTACTCTCCTTGCAATTTTTCTGTAAATCTAAAACGGTTATAAAACAATAAAGTTGGGGGATGAGAAAAAAGAAAAAAAAGTTTATTTTTTATTAAAAATACAAAACCTCATTCTTCACAGCCACATGCATATTTCAGAATTATTCTTAGAAACTTCAGGAACAATTAATTTACTGTATATAACATTATAGGCTAGATTAAACTGAGTAGTAATTATTAATGCTTAAAGTTAGTGTGGAAGCACCACAATTATATACCAGAGTGTTAGTGTAACTCTAAATATTAAGATACATAGGTCAGTGATTCCTGAAGTTTATTTTTTTATTTTATAGAGAAAACATAATTGACAAAAACGATCACATACTTTTTAAACTTTGTTGTTGATATCTTGGGGAATTGCAGCCATTTGAACCCCACGATCCTGACTCAAGCTCCTCTGTCCATCTCTCAAGAGTGGTTGAATTCAGTCATAATGCCTGGGATTGAAGAAAAGGCTTCCAAGGGGCTGATCTCACAGATCAGCAGATAGGCTAACCAGTCTTTTCACTCTGTTTGTTCTCAGGCATGTGGAAGCGTTCTCCGGTTCTTAACGTCCTGTTCTGGTTGTGCCCATTTGTTGAGGGGTTGAGTGTGGCATTGATGCAGCCTCCATGCTTTAACTAGGCTGCTATTCCATATTACCTGCCTGCACCAGCTTCTGACTACCCCCTGATTCAGAGGAGTGTGTCTGATGAAGAAACCACCTCCCTTAGTCAAGATATTCAACTTCATTCTATTCTTATCCCCTTTCTCCAGGTGGAGATCTCAGGAGGAGACAGAGAGAGAAAGGGATGCAAAAAGGCTCAGTTCTCAGGCTCCTGCCCCGATAACATCAGTATTATCTTTATAAATTTAATAGATATATAGTTTTATATTATATACAAAGTCATATATATAGCTATATGGATGGATGGATGGATGGATGGATGGATAGATAGATAGATAGACAGACAGACAGACAGACAGACAGACAGACAGACAGACAGACAGACAGACATAACAATGTAGAAACGCTGGTCAACATGAGCTTCATTACTATACAGAAAGCCAGCAGGGACTAGATGAGCTCATTCACAGAGACCACTGGGTTTTAGGAGCAGGAATATTTATTCCTCTGGACTGGGAGAGCTGGGAAGAATGAAAAGACCCAAGCTTTACCAAATTCAGACTCACATTTTTGTTTGAAGCCAAAGGTCATCTTGAAGCACAGTGAGGAGCGAAGTTTCCCTGAAGAAGAGGGCTGGACTTGGAGGTTGGTTCCCCTATTCAGATTCAGACAATGGGAGGGCAGTCTATTACTTTCACAGCATGATGGCCGTGCAGTGCTTGGTAAAAACAGTTCTCAGGACATTTAGAATTTGTTCTCTCTCCCTGCCATGCGCTTATGGTGTGCTCCCATAAATCCCTTCTCTTGTCTGGATACTGGGACCTATTGAATAGTCTTGCTAAGGATTGGGATCTAGAAAAAGCAATTTCTTCTTTGGTTTATACATTTTTTAAATGCCTGTCCAAGGACTATGAACCTGCTATTCATCTTCTCAGGAAGAGATACCTGTGTCAATTACTAGATACAGCACCTTGGCCATCAAGAGTGAATGAATCCAACAACTAGCAGACATCTTGGCTTCTGAGGTGCCCCCGGCCCCCAGCATTGATGGGAAAAGAGTCAAGGGCCCAGAGACTCCCGTCCAGCTCGTCATTCCTGGGGCAATCTCACCAAACAGCAAAGTGTTTCCTGTTCACCCTTTCCAGACTGGAACAAGTGTAAGGTGGGAGACGGTGAATCATTTTCCAAAGCCAGGATTGGCCCTCTTGGAATCTTTATGCGCTTCTGATTAAATGTAGGAAAATTAAGAGAAACCTGGAGGTTCCAGGGACTCAGCACGGTTTCGCCACAGCACAAGGCCACATAGTCTCTGAAAGACCAAGGTATAGCTCCAGTACAGGCGTTATCTGACTCCAAAGTTCAGACCTCTTCTACATGAGATCTGAGCCCCTCACACTGGGGCATAGTCAGTTAAGGCTGCAAAAGGGAGAGAGTAATGGAGTTCAGAATTGAATAGATACGAGTATAAACACTTGGGCACTGTCAACACCAAAGAGCCTGACATCTCCCTTCAGATGTCATTGTAACTGTCTAAAAGCCAGTGTGAGCACTGAAAACTCCTAGCACCTTATTGTGGAGCCATTGGGTCTTCCTCACCTTGTGATGCAGAAAGAAGAAACCAAAGCCCTGAGAAGTCGGCTCATTTACTCAAGTCACGAAGGCATTTAAGGAACAGCTCTTATAAGTCCATTTCGGTGGTTTAGGGCTGAGGAAGATGCCCAGAATCCCTGCATAGAAATAAGTACTGGTCATCAAAGCAGTGTGGGTGGCCCTTTCTGACCAGGAGGTCATCTCAGACTCCAGAGCCACTTATTCAGCTCTGGTACCTAAACAGCCAGAGTGAATTATTCACTTAGAAGGGTGAAAAATACTCAACTCCCTGGGATTGTCAAATGGAGTTTTCCATCCTAAAATATCTTAGTCATTTGGAATCTAACCAAAGTAAATGCCTGGTCCTGACCCACCCATACCTCTGTGCTAGATGGGAAAGGAGATGGAAAAGCCACCTGCCGGCCACAGATCATGCATGGCCCACCCCGGGCAGGTCTACTCCAGGTGAGACATGGTTTGAGCCAGGCTGCAGGTGATGAGTGGGTCAAGGGAGGGCTCTCAATGGCATCTCTGTTTGATTCCAGGCCTGAGTGGGGCTGTGGCTTACATAACAGTTTGGCAGGGAGATGCAGCCAGGCGGAAGCACGCGGGTTTCCAGCAGCATATAATCATCTTTGATTTCTCTGTTTGCTCAGCAGCTTTCAAGTGGTGGGGGAGGCCCTGGTGCAGGAGGAGGGGCAGGATTCCGATACACTAAAGCCTTCTGTTTTCTTCTGCAAAACAAACAGCCCCAAGCAGATCCCCATGGCCAGGGAATTAGCCACTGTCACACAGGTCCTGTGGCAGTTTGGGGGAGGAGCTGCTCTGGAGCCTGGGCCAGACCTAAGGTCAGAGACTGACTTAAAGTTAGGGCCTCACTAGGTGCACAGGAGCCCGAAGGGGTCTTGGATGCTGGCAGCACCTGACATGGTTTACCCTCTTCACACTGAGGGCAGTGGTGTCCCCCTCTGATTACAGAAGCCACTGAATCCCATACCACATCCATCCAGAAAGGAAGCTTGTCAGGCCTCTCTCTTACTAACCACTGCCTCCTTTGTGCCATTACCTCCATGTAGGTACCAGGCTAATTCTGCTGGAATCCTGAGCATCTAGGAGCAAATCGATTTAGAAAATAACATTTCCTTTGACTAAAATACACACTTCTAGCTCCTTTTGATCCTAATTGGCCTGGAATTGAGTAGTGGATGTTGCCCTTTAGAACAGGCTCACACGCACCACTTGCTGTGGTCTCCACTCTTCCCTATTGTCTTACACCTGGAGATGTCTTTTACTTCATTACTCTGCTTGCCTGGCGCTGGCAGACGTTTTTAGGATGAATTCCCTGCCCTATCCCAAGTATGATAATTTGATAGATTATAATTTGCTTACCTCTCTGATTCTCCCACTAGACTGTAAACTCTTTGGACAAAAGCACAAATTGGTCATTCATTTATTCCTTCAACAACCAGCTATGGCATGCTCACTTTGGACAGTGTGCTAAGTGCTCGTCATTGTGTTAGGAAGATAGAATTTATCATGGGGCCTGTCGTGCCCGGCATTTAGCACATATATGTGAT